TTTAAAACCTTTCCCTCATTCAGTCATTGATTCAGGCAACAAATACTCACATGCAGCTTACTTTAAATGTGTTTGAGGGTGCATGTAATTTTTTTATCTCTCAGATATGATTGTGGTGATCCTGACCCTTTATCACTAGATCTTCTCCTTTAGTTTAAAACTGTGATGGACCTGCATATATCTGTCCAATTCTCCTGCCAACGGCTCACATCTGAAAGAAGTCTGGCAATGTGTAAAGGCATAACACATGTCAGCTCAAAGAAAACTTGATCGGTACACCGCCAGCTACCAAAATTACCTGCGTATGCATTCCCAGTAGCTATGTTTAGGGCCAACAACTAGTGCTCTTTCTTTCTTTTTTTTTCTTTTTTATCCTCACCCAAGGATGTGCTTATTGATTTTAGAAAGGAAAGGAGGAAGAGAAACATCAGTGTGAGGAGAAACATCCATTGTGCCCTCTCCTATGTGCCCTGACTGGGGACCAAACCCACAACCTAGGTATGTGCCCTGACCGGAATCGAGCCTGTGACCTTTCAGTTTATGGAATGACATTCCAACCAACTGAGCCACACCAGCCAGGGCAGCCCTCTTTTTAAAAATAACCTTTTTTTCATAGAGTATTTTGAAGGAAACAGGATGTTCTGCAGGGATGTTTACTAGGCTTAGAGTTTTAATTTTAGGATCTGTATATTTAGCTATTACTTAATTTCTCCAGCTACTTGAAAAATATCTACTGTGCTTAGGAACCTTAAAATACAGAGTTGGGTAAGGAGGAGAAGGGTGTCTAGGAATGACCGGGTGGGGAAGCACTTTGCTGTGTTCTAAGTGTCTAATTTGCCCTCACGACTCCTCTTGAAACGTAGGCTTTGTCTTTTTATTAATACTAGGTCCTTTGTTCATTTTTGATGGATGATGGATGTTTAATTCACAGGAGATTATTTTTTTTTTACCCTGACCACATTCAGTTGGATAAACTAGACCAGACTGATGACATTTCTCTATGGATTTTCTTAACATCTCAGCAGTTAAACTGAACGTAATGTAAGACCAAGTTTCATACATAAAAGGACTTTAAGACTTTCATACTTGAGTGTAGGGCAAAAAGAAAACACTTAGCGGGGCGGGGGGGGGGGGGACCCGCAAGAAACCTATAAACATCTGAGAGTAAAACAGTGGAAGAAGGGAGGCAATTCATACATTAAGATAAATTAATATATACTATCACGGTATTTGTTAATGCTTTGGGGATTAACATGTGGTATTTTGCCTTGGGAAAAAAACATCAGGGCTATTTCCGAGTATCCTCTGGCCTTAGCAGTGGAATCCTAGCACTGGGAGACTTCAACGTGTCACAACCTGTTTCCTGGTCAAGCTACGACCAGCTGTCTCCCCTTCCAGGAGCACAAAGAGGGTCTCGGAAAGAGAAAATTTGCATGAGACTTGAGGGAAAAATACCCTTCAGACATAACCACAGAAAAACATCAAGAAATGGCAAAAATTACCTAATGTGGGCTTGTCCATCCAGCCTTCTGTACTTATTTGTTCAAAACTAATTTTGGTCATTTATTCACTGTGATTTGAAAGGCTTGCCAATCTCAAGCCATTCTTTCCAGTTATTAGAGGGCCCACTTCGTGGCCAGATGGGACTGCACCTTGGCATAGGGTTTTGGGCACCCAGTTTTTACTAAGAGAGAGCACAGTGCTCTTTCGAGTCCCACTTTCAGTTCCATCCTACGGATAAGTCTCCCTGGGTCCTTACATGGTTATAATTTGAGATGTAATATAGAAATGGATGGGATGCCTTCCTTCCCGCTGCAGGGCCCTGGGGTGTGGGATAGACTGAGGCGCCCTCAGAGCCAAGGCTTCACTGTGGGAACATCTATGTTTTGTTTCTAAGGAAACAAGGGCATCCAGGGCAAAAGAGGAGCTACTTTACATGTGGAAAAGATTAAGGGCAGAAAGGATTTGTGGAAACAACGCCAGAGTCACATTTTTTCCTTGATTTGTCACATGCTGTTTTTTTTCCCCTTTTGTTCTTTGGCCACCTTCACTGCAAACCCTTTGATGAAGAAAATCCAAATCACTAGAGCCACAGAATGGTATTGTAGTTCATGAGAGCGACCATTCCTACATTTAGAGGCAGAGGCAGACCCCATACAGAGACTCTCAGGGAATATTCACAAATGTTACAAATCTAAAGGTTTCTGTTAGAAGGTCTTATAAGAAATAAAAATGTTCGAAGAGCACATTACTGGTTTCTGTTTCCTCATACGATTCCCTTCCTTCTTTTCCTGCATTTACGGATAAACATTATAACCAAGCAGAAAAGTGCCTCTTAACAGATAGATGTTTCTGTTAGAGTGCATTAGAAGTAGAGACAGATGCAATTTGCATCCTGCCCAAAAGAAAAGTATTTCCCTCAGGTTGACTATTTAGGAGACTGAGCAATTTTCCTAAGGAGATAAATACAGTATGGTGGTTAAGAGCAGTCTGGCTGGGTTTGAATCCTGGCTCTGTCCCTGACTCACTGTTCAGACTTGGCCCCATTGCTTAAACTCCCTGTGCGGTAGCCTGATCTGTACCTAATCCTGGGGTCAGAACAGAACGTGCCTCAAAAGGTAGTATTATGTTAAATGAGTCTTTAGAACTGTGTCTGTAGATAATGAATAAATGAGTGTTATCTATCATTACAGGAGTTTTTAAATAAATAATCCTCCCTGTGCCCATTAGAAAACAAAGAATTACTGGATTTTAGATAGTGTTTTTATACCAATTGCAGTAGCAATTTCTTAAAAAGCATTATGTAATAAAATGGTAATGAATGAAAAGAAATGTCACTATAAAACAATATTATTTTTAGATGGAGGAAAAAATAGTTTATTTGGTCTTTAAGATTTAGAAGTACATTCTGGGATGTGAAATAAAAATATTCCCCAAAAGCTGACATTTAATACAATATATTCATACATGTATAAAATTTAAAAAATAATGTTCAATGTGACATGAATCTCTGATCCAAAGACAAGTAGAAATTAGTAATAGTCTCAAATTAAGAGTCAAGAGATTACTACATTTGTGACCTTAAACCAGAAATATAACTAGAGGGAAAAAGAGAAGCCCCTTCTCACCTCACTTCCTCCCCACGACCTTGAACATGTTCTAGAAGTCCACCATGAACTTTTTGTCTTTTCAGTTGGCAATGAACATTGTATGTTCACCTGGCAGTGATTAGCATCAAAACAGTAATTTTACGTTACATATCTTTTACAACAATTTTTTTTAAAAAATCTGAGAGTCCCTTTTGTAAATTAATGAAGTCCTCAAATGCTTCTGACACAGCTCATTTTCATGATGTCGCTGTGAAAGTCAAGCATGCAGTGTGATTATGTCAGAAAATTACAAGCTCCCTCAAACACTTCACTCTTTGTTATTTACTCTTTCTAAGAATTACTGCATGCCTGGATGAAAAACTAAATTTCATTAAAATACATGCATTAAAAAAAAAGCCATAGTAGTAATCGTGGGAGAAGAAAGAGGAATGATCAAACAACGGCAGCCCTTCACGGACCGCCACCAACCGTGTCCCAACACCACGCGTCCCATGTCCAGCCCAGCACGTCCACAGATGCCCCCCAGAGCTGACGGGCCTGGCTCTGGCTCTGCCTCTGCCTCGGGCAAGCCATTGGATCTCCAGACTTTCTCATTTTCGAAACTGAAAACTTTGGGCCAAAGTGCTCACCCATATCCCTTGTGCCTCAAAAATTCCATAATTCTCTTACTGTCACAAACTCCAACCCTGAACCCTGATTTTAAACCTCTCTTTCACAAATAAATGAAAATCATCATCTTCAGTAAACAAAAAATCCTACAAATAAGCATGAACTGTCAAAATATTTTTTTCCTTGCTCCGGGACTTTACCTATGGCCAGAGCAATTTTATAAAATCTTTACACTCAGTATTCAAAAGAGCCATTTCTTTTCCCCAGAGAGAAATATAGGCAAGGACTGAGGAAGACACCCTCCCCAGACAAAGCTGAGGCATGCTCCTGTGGAGAAGCCTGTTCTATTTTAATTGCCAGTAAAAAGTGGCCTGGGGAATCACACACTGTCATTATGTCATTAAAAATACTATTCTTGTCACTCCTTTACTCTCTCTCAAGTAGCCCAACTACTCCCCACAACTTAAATTTAATAGCACTTTTAAAATATTGGCTTTATCTAGAGTCCACTGGGGACAGCACTTTCTGCAGTTATCACTGCCATAAATCTCACAGACCTCCAGTGACTAACGCAACTCCATTTAGTGGGTATTTACCGCATCTGTGAAATTTACCAAGCATTGGGAAGAATTAAAAAGGAACTAGAAGGCTTGATTTCAGCAAATTAGTGGGCCACTCTCATTGGAAAACAGAGCTTTATAAAGGCTTTTTTACAAACCCTCTCATCGCATCTTTCAGTTCTGCTTGGCTCTCATTCAGCCCTCCCTGTCTGTCTCACCTGCTTATCTGGGCGATGGCATTACAAGCATGGCGCTGACAACCAAGGTTATGCCCCTGTTAAAAAAAAAGCTTGATTTCTTTTGTTATAAGAGTTATAAATTCTCTTCCCTTATGAACTGTAGGTCAAGTTGGCATTCCATGTAGGAAATAGGGTCATTTGAATTGAGTTACTTGTTACTACTAAGCAGTTTCTAGTGAGCTATATTATGCAACGACTGAAGGGCACAAGGCAAATAGGATGCTCTGTGAAGATTCTGGTGATGGCTTATTTTTAATAATGCCCCCTTTGAATAATATAATAGTAAATGAAAAAGCTATGCCGGCGACTTCTTCCAGGTACTTGAACCATCTTGCTTCTATGTACACACCTGGAGGTTATTTTGTATTGCCAAACATACTTCCTGAAAGAGTCTATTGACTTCTACCTCATAGAAACATGCATTGCCATGGCTCACGAGGGGAAAGGCACTCTGCCCGTCTTTAACCCAAGGATAGGATTACCTTATTGCCTTGAATTCCCTTCGGGCCTGGGTCCCCTGGAGGTCCACTAATGCCCTGCTCCAAGATGAAAACCAAGAATTAGTTCTGGGTGCAAGGTCCAGCAGGAATGGATCATTCATTAGGGTCCCTGGAGATCCCAGAGTTAGAATTCAGATCATAGCTCAGTTAAATTGTGATTGCATGGGACTGAGAAATGGAACGAGATAAAATTCCTTGTGTCAAATAGGCAGCTTCTATAATAGTACTTAAGCTGAGAGCAAACATTAATGAGATGCTTGTTTTCTAAACCTGGGTTTCCAACCTTATTTCTGTGCTGGACCCTTTTTTTGAAAGATTTCAAATAAACAACTTTAAAAAATCTAAGGCAGCTATAACTGAAAATTAGAGCTTCCAATGACCTTGTGATGGCCAGAGTGACTGTCCTACCTTGACACAATTCCAGGCCACAGTGAAGGACTTGATCTTTAATGAAATGCTATCTAGGAAATCTTGGGCAAAAGTATCATTTTCAGAAGACTTTTTGAAATACTGAAATCAACTCCTTATACACCCTCCCCCGCATGATAACTATAGAAGAGGCAAATTCATAGAGTAGACAAATATCATCCTAATTATTATTTTTAAGATATGTCTAACTTAAATAAATGCCTTAAAGAATCATTCCATGTTATTGAGCATCACAAATACTTAACTTAGATAAAATGCATATAACTCTTTCAACCACATTTTAGTAGTACTGCAAAAACAGTTACATTCTACTTATAATTACTTGGACTTTACTGTCTTTCTAGACTCTAATTCATAAACGTTTACCTACAGCTACTCACTACGTAGACTCCCCTGCTGGTACCTATTTTGAGGGAGCCTGAATTAATTATTATAACATTATGGTAGTGGTTTCCAAACTTGGATGTACATCGGGGTCACTTGGGGATCTTTATAAATAGTAATGCCTAGCTCCAATCCCCAGACATTCTGATCGAATTGGTAGAGGATGTAGTGGGCAAATGGACTTTAAAAACTCTCTGGGTGATTCTAGTCCAGGCTTAGATTTGGTTTTAGCTTCTTTACCTGAACTCCTCTGGGTCCTTTTGGTCCATATGACCCCTGGGATCCCTGTGGAATAAAATTAATGGTAAGTCACTCAAAATATCCACCTTCAAAGTGTAATGATTTTAGGTAGAAGAGAAGGGAATATGTTTTCAGTAGTGGCCAATCTTCTTTGATTACCCAAACACCAAAGCTCACTTATTCATTGTTAATGAAATCATCCTGATTAACAAGTCAAATGGGGGGGGGGTCAAACTTCTCTGTAGCAAACAAACTCTATGAAAACATAATTTTAGATATAATTTCTTGGTTTATATATTGACATTTTGATCAAAGTAAAAGATTTCTTAAAATTCCTTAGGAAGCAGTAAACTTGGTGAAATACTGTTTTCTTCCAACCAGGTAATGTCAATTGAATTAATCTAGTGAACTTAGTAAAACACTGATCATGCTAAACACTCTTCTAATAAAAAATATTTCAGTATCTTTCATAATTAGGAAACCCTTTGAAGTTTATTTTTATTAGAGGATAATATAGTCTAGTTTCTCTTTTCTCAGATTTTCACTTTTTTCCCCCTGCTTCTGTTGTATGTGTTCCTACACACTGCTTCAGTTTATTTTCACCTACTTTTGTTCTTATTCCCAATCAATTTTTCTTCAAATAATTTGATCAAAGTATGTATACAATTTTGCACCCTCCTTACCTGGTTTTCTGTTGAGTGAAAAATATTTTTCTTTGTCATTCATAACTCTTAGTAAACTGAATAATATTCAAGAATATGAATCCATCATGATTTACTTACTCATTTCACTAGTTTGGACATTTACATTGTTGTTGATGATTATTATTTAAATAATGTTATAGAGAACAACTTTGTGCATACATCTCTGTCCACCTTCTGATTCATCCCTGAGGATAATTTTCTAGAAGAGGACGCTCAATGTAGAAAAAGGCAATAAGCACATTTAAGATTCTCTCTCACTCTCTTTGTCTCTCACACCTTTTATGGGAAGAAATCATGAAACTTTTCTTCATAAAATTTGTTCAGATTTCCATTCTCACTACCCAGATAGAGAGAGCAAATCTTCATCCTATAGAATCCCATCAACACTGAATACTATATATTATATATTATTTCAGTGTTTGCTCATTTAATTGGTGAAATAATATTTTAATGTTTTAATTTCACTTATTTGATTGCTAATATGTTAGATGTTTTTCATTTATTGGCCATTTATATTTTCTTTTTGGGTTTTCTGGTTCTTTGTATGTTTTACTTATGAATTTATGTGAATCCTCTTCATGTCAAGGACTCTTTTTCCATTAACTCTGGACATGCATTTTTCAAATGTTTACTTCTCTAACATTGGAACACACATTACAATCAATTGCAGCTTTATAATCAACAGTATTTCTTCTTTCTTTTTGGCACAGAATATAATAGGGCATTTAACAATCCTTGGCATCTTAGTCGATGAAATATGACATTAACTCCTTGTCAGCCATTTTTATTTCAAAAAGTTTTTCTAGTTATTATCTGATTTTCATTTTTGTTCTGTTCGGTATGTGTCCCTCCTGCATTTTTTGAGTCCAAGTTCATCTCTCATTCTCAGTAATCTTCCAGGAAGAATCCATTCATTATCATACTATCCATTTCATCCAGAGGTAATTACCAAGCCTACATTTTTCAGACCCACCTGACCTTTCACTCTGCAGCAGTTTAAAAAGCTTTCAGAAAGCCTCAGGCTATTTAAGTGTTTAGTTACATGGGCCACTGTCATTGTCTTACCCTTTTCTTTTCACCTTCTGCCTCACCTTCTCTCCTTGACTCTCTGCCATAATTAAAATATAGATATGGAAAGAGTTTGCTGTCTTACTGGCATGATTTTAATAGTTTTAACTGTAACAAAAACTACTTTTACTCTGTGATTTTTTTTACCCTTTATTATTTATTATATTTCAAATACACTCTATATTTCTGGTCCATTAAGGAACTCCTTAACATGTTTAATATTGTCTCCAGTTTAAGTACTTTATTCCTATTTATTTTTTAATGAAAAGTAAATAGATACTTGGTTGTCTGTAGCTTGCTGGATTTTCAAAATTTCAAACCCCTGTCTGAGTCTGATTCTGTCACATTGTTTATAACCATCTCATTAACTTATGTCATCGAGTTCTTCACTGTGCTTGGGAAGCACTTGGTATCCATGTTTATATCTGGAAAACAATTCTACTTTTTCCCAATGGAGCTTGAATTAAATTTTTGCTGGTTAAATTATTCTTTTCACTATGACGTGCAGTAGGCCTGGCCTCAAAGTTACCTCAAAGCTACCACGAAGCAAAGTCTTAATGGAACATAAGAAAGGCATTTTGGGACACTATCACTTAAAGTTAGGTGATGGCTTTGTCTTCTGCTTCATGTTTTACCAATGAGAAAATTGAGCCAATGATTCTCTAACTTCAGTAGTAAGATCAACAAAATGCATCTCAGGAACTTTCTATCTTTTAAAATTGTTTGGGATTTTTTCTAGTAAGTAGAGTTGGTATACAATCTTATATTGGTTATGTTAGTTTCAGGTGCACAATATAGTGATTCAACATTTTTATAACTTATAATGTGATCACACCACTAATTCTAGTCATCATCTGTCACTGTTTCAACGTATCACAATATTGTTGACTGTATTCCCCTTTTCACTCATCCTCCCCCCTCCCTTCTGGTAACCATTTCTTTGATCTCTATTAAAACAAAACAAAGAAACAAACAAAAACAGGAATAGAAACAGGAATTTCATCTTAAGGAAACTCAGCCCCAAAGGATCAGAAATGTTACCATTTTAAAAACATGTTCCTTACTTTGTCACCTTTTATTCCTGGTTTACCACATTCTCCACGTACACCCTAAAATAAATGAATAAAATAAATCAGCGGACATTTGCAGGCATTCAGTGTTAGTATTTTCTTTTAAAGATTCCCAGCAGAATCTTAAGATGTAAGCACTGTGATAGATTATACTCAGGGTTATCCTCAGTCCTGTGGGTTCTTTGGGCATTGAAGTCTGAAAAATTGTATCCGTAAGTCGTTTTTAACTTGACGGATGAAATCAGTGATACCACCTAATGCGGTTTAACATTTTTGAGAGATAGATGAAATTAAAAGAAGCTAAGGTTTACTGATGATCTACCATACATTCTACACTCTTTGCATGCATGATTTAATTGAATCCACAGTACAGCCCAATGAGATCAGTTTTACAATTCTTATTCCATAGATGAGAAAACTGAAGCTGAATGAGATAATGTCTCCCCATCAGAGCTAGTTAAGTATCAAAGTCTGAACTCAGGTCTACCTAGATTCAGAGTCCCTGTTATTTCCACAACACCATGCTCCTGCCCCAGTACCAACTTTCAGCAAACAGTAGATTTCGCCTCCAGAGTGTGAGGAAAAAGTTCTGAGACACTGTCCTGACTTGGTAGGGAAAGGAAGCAAGATGAACGAGCAAGGCCTGCTGTGAGAGAGAGGGGGCATGGTGGCCAGCATGTCATGTATGTTCCATCCTTATTCTCCACCACGCTGCCTTTCCTGGAATAGTAATGAAAAAAACTAACATATACATTATGTTTCATGTTTTATCATTAATGTTATTTTATGGAAATTATCTCAGTTAATCTGCCATCAACTGTCTGAGGTAGATATTATTAGCCTAGTTTTACAGTCTGAAACTTTGTGATTCAAAAAGATTAAGTAAGTTGCCCAGGAAGTCTAACACTTCTAAAAATTGAACTAAAATGTAAGAGTCACTGAAAATGACAAGTAAAGTTTGAATTGCAGAGTGCTTTCATATATATGCATTTTGAGTCTCAAAGCAATTCATGTTTCTAAGAGAAGCCAACCCAGAGAGGTAAATGGTTCACTTCAATTGTACATTCTAGCCAGTGACTCCTAGGCCAGCGCCCTCACTGCTGGCTTCTGCGTCTGCTGCTGCTGTATTTCCTACGCGCTGGTCTGAGGCGTGCTACTTGAAATGCCACTACACGACATAAGGACATAAGGGATACACTAACATGCACTTCAGTGCCCTGCTTCCTTCATCAAGGAAGTCTTGCTATGGAAAATAAAGGTCAGCTGAGCTAAACAGTATACTTAATGATCTAATGGATTTATAGTCTGGTGCAAGCTTTATCTTATCACAAAAAAGCAACAAACGGTTCACACACTGACAGCCAGCCTGCAGACCATATCTTGTATACCACTGCTCCAAAGGAAGGGAAATCACAATTGTAACCACGAACTATGGGTGCAAAGCATGTGTCAAGGCCTCGGCATTATTGCTGACCACCACTCTGGCCTTGCAAGGTAGATATATCTTCATTCACAGATAAGGAAAATGTGGCTCAGAGAGATTAAGTAATTTGCCCATGACCCCAAGCTGAGTCTGGTAGACGCTCAGGCCCGTGTTCTTCGTTAACCACCCAAAACTGAACAAAGCACGCAGCCATGGTCTGCAAGTTGCTCCCCACTGACTTGACACTTCTGCCTTAGGTGCTGCATAAGGCATTGCTGGCATGAGAGCAGAAAGAGGGAGGTCCAATGCTTCAATCCAGCTATGCCTCTGTTCGAAAGCAATCTATTCTCTCCCCACATCACGTGAGTCAAACTGACCCAGGAAAAATGGAGCTTTCCCTTAGAACAAGTCGCATATTTATTTCGGAACGCAAATGGAAAATCACTCTTGAAGAATCAGTTAGAAAGCAATTAATGTAATAATGTTGGATGGGAATGAAATGAGTCAACCACCAAAATACAAAAGAGAAAAGTACCATAAATACATTCAAAATTATTTTGGGCAGAATTCACATTCTGTTAGCCCAGACAGATGTGTTAGCTATGGGGTCCTGAGGAACAGCGTTTGTTTGGGGCGGGGGCAGGTTCCCATCAATGAAAATATTGTACTCAAGTTATTTGCCTCTGCAAAGGCGGTTTCTTTCTGGTGGGCTCATTAATCGCTGCGGAATCACCACAGTGACAGTTCCAGGGAGCAAGGGCTTCAGAAAGCTATGAACAGATTAGCTCTGTTCACAGCCTCTGACTCCCGATGCTGCTGCTCCTGGTGAGCTCCTGGCTTGATTGCCAGGGTCAAGGTCACTTTCTCTCACAGTGTGTATTTCCCAAGTGAGATCTCCTCCAGGGAGTCTATAATTTTCCAGAGGTTTCAATGAATATTTTCATGTATATATGAAATATGCATATCTTCCTGGGGTTGATAATTAGTTCATTGTAAAAATCAAGATGCAGTGGGAGGTTATTTATAATTCTTCTCACATATGTGTGTAGGTGTGTATTTGTCATATATATGGCAAATTTGCAGTCATGGAACTTTTTCAACTTTCCCATATCAGCACCTCACATGTACAGGCCAGCAAAGAGTTTAGAACACACTGTCACATTCATTATCCTGTTTGATTCTCTGAGAAGTAGGGAGGCGTGGACTAATTCAGTTCTACGTGGAGGATGAAATAGACACTCCAAGAGGTTGAGGAGCCCAGGTTCTTATGGCTAAGGACAGAATCTTGGCATTTCTTACACTCTTCCTCTTGGTTAGGGATTTGTTTATTTTTCATCTGGAGGTTCACCCCTGATATTTGCAGGGCCCAAGGATGAGGTCAAGCAGAAGGCAACATACCATGTATCTAACTAGTGGAAAGTTAAAAATCAAGCTAATAAAGCAGTCGTGTTCTAGCTTCCTTTCTTGACAAACACACCTTCAAAAGAAATTTAAAAACCAGAGAGGTGGGGGCTCCCCAGAGGTCCGTGCAGGAGCACAGCCCATGTCACTTCCCACCTCCAGCTTCTGCCACAGCAAGAGACACTGTGTGTGAGTGGAGAAGGTGCCCCACACAGCACAGCAAAGCTGCCTCCGGGCAAACCCCTCCTTCCCTAGCAAACAGCTTCCATTTGGTTCCTTCTCAGGTCTGGGAAGAAAGTAGACATGGGAAAAGGTTTATGTGTGCCTTCAATGCAAGCTCAGATTATTTTGCAGGGACATTTGGGGTCTTGGTTACCCAAAGCATGATCTAGGCCAAGGAGGCACAGGCCTCTTGCCCTGCAAATCCCGGAGTGGGGGTGGAGGGCAGAGGAGACCCAGAGCGGGACCCTCTGAGGTAAGGCCTCGTGCCCAGGTCTGAGGGATGTACCACCTGTAGGACAGAATGGAGGCAAGGACCTCTTCAGGTTTCAGAGAGGAAAAAAATCTGATCATAGAACAGTGGTGGACTTATTAATGAACCATTGAGCACTCTCAGAGGTTCCTGAGTCCCAGGCCAGAAATCAGGCCGTTAACACCTGAGAATCAGGCTGTTAACTTCTTCTGAATTAGTTGGATCAGTTTCCTAATTTGTAATTTGCCAATAATCTACAAACCATTCCTTTTATTTGTTTGTCAGATTTACTGCCCCCTACAATCTCTGCCCAGACGCTTAACTGAATGAAGTCAGTGGTTCTACACTGTCTAACCAGGATAAATCCTCTTTCCACAGAAGAGGGTTGGGAAGGTGAGCACCAAAGGAACAAGCTTATTGCAGTTTTCTGCATCTGTTTGTACACTGAAACTTTCAGTCTGGAAACCCATTTGCAGAGCTCAGAGGGAGTGGGCACCAATTTTAGTAACCTTGGGACTTCTTCCACCCCTTACAGTATACACCCACATCTTAAGTCATGTTATTATTTGTGTCAACAGAGCTTATGTTTATATTTACTAATTAGGGAATCCAGACTTTCAAAAATAACTTTTATTCAGTACATAAATACAGCAATATTTCTGTTTTTCTTTCTGGAATTCTGGTCTATTGGCTGTTACAAACTTACCTTCTCACCCTTGTACCCAGGAATTCCCTAATTAAAAAAAAGAAAAGAAAAAATAAAATGTGATATTAGGAGGCATAGTTGGAGGGAGTATTTGATGTTTTTCATTTGTGACATTATAAAACACATCAGTACAGTCTTAGAAAATAAGACCATGTATACATAGGCTATTTCCCTTTGCACTGAGGGACTGTACATTTACTAGGGAGAAGAGAAAAAGCTATTTTTCCTTTTATTACATTCTATTCTGAGTACCAGGCATTTTTTCGAACCCAGTTTCTTACCCTTTGGCCTGAACCAGAAGGCGATACCATACACTGAATGTCACTGTAGAATTGAAGACCTGTAATTGCCCTTTCAAAATTGTTGTATTGACTTTGAAACTATGAACTATCACGGCTGAGAATGTTTCACAGAAACTGGTCGTGAAAATGGCTTTAGGACAATGTCCTTTCAAATGTCCATAAATATTTATATTCTTTATGGTCCTCCTTTCAAACTCAGTCTAGAATGTAAACATCAAGGAAATGAATGGTTCCTTTTTCCATCTTAATGAGGCAGTGACCTTTAAGTTGCTATATTTTATCTCCTGCTAAATAAGAGGCCAGAGTGTCTGCTCCTTTTCTGTGTCACTCCTGGGAACCCCCCGCAGCCCTCTCCATCCTGTCGCTGCACAGAAGCCCTTTAAGCGACACGATGCTGAGTATTAAAGGGACTGGGAAGTTACCGACTTTAAGGAACAGCAAGTCCTTTTCAAAGAGGATTTCATGTCTTCTTCATACAACTGTGGTTTTCAAGCATGAAAATAGAAGTGTTAAGATAATTTAAGTGGGCTGGAGAAACTAGCGGAATAGACAAGCCATGTACTTGCATGTACTTGCATGTACTTGCAGTTACATGTAAGTCTGTCCACAACATGTTTTTCTTGGTGTGACTTTTTTTTAAATGATAAAAAAGAAAACTTCAGGGAGGAAATTCCATACTGTTTTCCACAGTGGCTGCACCAATCTGCATTCCCACCAACAGTGCAAAAGGGTTTCCCTTTCTCCACATCCTCGCCAGCACTTGTTTGTTGATTTATTGATGATGGCCATTCTGACAGGTGTGAAATGGTATCTCATTGTGGTTTGAATTTGCATCTCTCTGATGATTAATGATGTTGAGCATCTTTTCATCTGTCTGTTGGCCATCTGTATGTCCTCTTTGAAGAAGTGTCTGTTCAAGTCTTTTGCCCATTTTTTAACTTGGCCATTTGTTTTTTGGTGTTGAGTTTTATAAGTACTTTATGAATTTTGGATATTAACACCTTATCATATGTATTGGTGAATATGTTCTCTAATTCTGTGGGTCATCTTTTTATTTTGTTGATGGTTTCCTTTGCTGTGAAAAAAATATTTTAATCTTTTGTTTCCCTTGCCTGGGGAGAGATATCTGATAAAAAATTGCTACAAGCTATATCCAAGATTTTGCTGCCTATGTTTTCTTCTAGGATTTTTATGGTGTCAGGCCTAAGCCTTCAATTCATTTTGAATTTGTATTCTTGTGTATGGTATAAGAAGTTGGTCTAGTTTTATTTTTCTGCACATATCTGTCCAATTTTCCCAACACCATTTATTGAATAAGCTACCTTTAGCCCATTCCTCTGTCAAATATTAATTGACTATAACATTGTCAGTTTATTTCTGGACTCTCTATTCCATTCCATTGATCCATGTGTCTTTTTTATGCCAGCACCATGCTGTTTTGATTATTATGGCCTTATGGTATAGTTTGATATTAGGGATCATGATCCTCCAACTTTGTTCTTTCTCAGGATCATTGTTGCTATGTGGTGCCTTTTGTGGTTCCATACAAATTCTATTCTCTTTTTGTTCCCTGTTTTTCCCCTCAGAAATCTCTGATTTATTTATTATTTGGTTGCTATCAGTTTCCTTCCTTCCTTTCTTTCATGGCATCTTAATGACTAGTGTTAAAATATTCAAATCTGAAATAGCCACAACTGCACTCTTGGCTCTCTGCCCAAATTATTTCTGACTTTCTTATTTCTATTAAGGCTATCATATTTCAAATCACACAGTCTTAAAAACTTATAATTATCTTTTGTCCCTATTTGCCCCCTACATTCCTTTAATCCAACCAGTTAAAATTCCCCAGTAGCTCTTCCACTACACTTGTTTTAAACCCACTGCTACGCTGGCCAATGAAGCTCTACTGATCTAGCCCCTGCCTAAGCCACAGCCTCATCTCCTGTCATTCTTCACCAGGTTCTGGCTTGCTTTCCATTTCCTGTGCCTGCCAAGATTGTTCCCACCTCAGAGCCTTTGTCCCCACTGCTCTGTCTGCCTAGAACGCCCTCCTTGACCTTGTTTATATTTTCAGAACACCTCTCACTGACCGAAATTCGTATTCATTTGTTTGCCTATTGATTGCCTCCCCCTGCTAGAACACTTTATGAAACAGGAACTGACTTGCTCACTCCTGTATCCCAGCACATAAAGAGGCCCAACACATACAAGGTGCTCAATATATCTTTGTTGAATATATAAGTTAGATTAATCACCACAGTCTATCATTGCTTTTCTTTCATAATTCCCACAATGTCCTCTTCCCTACTGTGTTGTCATCACTGTAGCCCAGTTTTTCCCAATATAAGAGGAGCCCCAAGTGGGAGTCCCATATGTAACTTTAAATTTCCTAATAGCCACATTAAAAAAGCAATGAACAGGTGAAATTAATTATAATATATTTTATTTATCCCAATAGATCCAAAATACTGTCAGTTCAATATGTAATTATATACAAATAATCAATGAGATAGTTTACTTCTATTTGGGGGATATTAAGTCATCAAAAGTTTATGTGTGTTTTATTTCTAAAGCACACCATGATTTCACATTTCACCTGCTCAGTAAGCACATGTGGCTAGTGGCTTTCACATTGGCCAGAGCAGCTCTAGCCAATGTTCCTGTTATTTCTCATATAAGATATAGCAATACACCTTCTAAGTGCTTCTTCCTTGTGCTTATTCGCATTTCGATTTTTCTTTTAGAACCATGCCAGACTAATCTTCCAAATACATATGTAGCTCCTGTGTCATATGCCTCATCTAAAATCTTGGAGGATGCCCAGCACCTACCAAAGCCCAGATCTTACAAACAGCATAGAGCACCCACTCTGATCCTCAAGCTGTGTGTGACATGACAGTCCTCCCCTTCAGGCACCCCATCTCACCATTTCCCAACACACCGCCTTCCCTCTGGCAGCTAGGTGCTCAAGGCCCTCTCCACCTGGAATACATGTCCCCTTCCACCTTACTATTCTGTCCTTGCCTGTCACAATTCTACACTCTTCAGGGGTCACCCCGTAAAACTACCCCAAGAACTCCAATCCCTGAATTCCTATAATACTTTTTACATGCAATTTTCACAATATTTTGACACTATGCTTCAAATAGCAGCTATCTTAAATATCTTATCTCTCCTATGAGAAAATAAATGTTTCAAAAATATAAATGCTTTGTCTTAATTTTATTTTTACTTAGCAGTATGCATTGTATGTAGAAGATAACAAAGAAATGTTTCCTGAAAGAAATAACACAAATTCTGAATGGATTTCTATTGAAATTACCAAACTTTCTATTAGACTTTTTCATGACATTGATTAAACACACAAGAGAACGGCGTTTAAAGCCTCTGGGTCTGAGTCTTGGGCTTTGACCCAAGGAGACAGACTGAGAGGAGAAACGTAACCTGGCTCCTTTTTGTTCACTGGGGACTCATCAGCTATTTTCTACATCAGTAATGAAAACTTCTTCTGTAATTACTTCTCATACAATCTCTGGTAGCTTCTATCTTCTAATTATAGGGATAATCAATCAACTAGAATAATCCCTTTTTCTCCGTCACAAATACTCTCTCTCTCTTTTGATCTGTAGAATCAGATTTACAAAAGCGTAGTTTAGATTATGTAACTCTTATGACCCCAGAATTTAAATTTCTTCTATACTGCAAAAAAAAAAAACCCAGAAGCAATAAAACAAAATGTTTTTCTCATTTGAGCCTTTCACAAGTGTCGAATTTAGTATCAGGGAGTGTCACGTGGTTGACCACTTGTCCCATCATCACTCCCATTGAACAGAGTATTGTCCTCTCACACTTCCACTTCTAAGATCGTTTTTGTCTGAATTGTCTCTGACATCACTAGCCCACACAGATAGATATAAATCATTTTCACACTCGCACGCCATGAGTCAAAACCATCAATTCCAGAATCTAGCACCTGGGATTACATTCTTAGAAAGGCATTCCCATTGCATACATACCCCTGGGCCTCTTTCTCCAGGTTCTCCTTTTTGAGCATCACCCTGTGACAAACAAAAAACTCAGTCAGAATTCTACCATCCTGCAAATGGACCAATTGCTCAATAAAATGTGATATTCAGAATTCCCAGATTAATAAATGAAGCCAATGGAGGAAGAAAATCTTTGGTCTTCCCCTTTGACATTTTCACTATGCAATCCAGGGAAGGAAACAGCAGCTCAGATAGCCTTTGCCCTTTGGAGTGAAGCCAGATGTAGAGGGCGCTGCATCCAGGTACATGTTCACCATGTAGGCGGCATCTTGCATCCCAGTTTAACAACACAGCCATTGTTCTCAAACACAGCACTGTACCCACTGGGAGCCAGCCTCTCTGGCCTTTCTCCAAGGGGCCGTGGAATGTTTTCCAAAATGTCCTCAAAACTGATTGCTTGATTTCAGCAAGACTTAGGAGAATATATTATGTGGCACAAAATTACAAGCCAAATAAATGAAATATAAACATAGACTTATCACAGGTATTTAATAAAACAAAAGGAGACACGATGGCACTAATTTGAACCCACGTAAGGTGAGCGAGTGTAGGGGTGTGCGTTTGTGTATTGTGAAACAGCTCAAAGATGCTTTACATTCCCTTTCTTTGACAAACAGGCAATCAGCAAAAAATACTTTAATGCATGTACCTTATGGTATTTTTCATTACATCCCTAAACACATTATCAGAAATGAATTATTGGATTAATTTTTGAATATTTGAATGCATCTTATGTAGCGCTCATTTGCTTTCCAAAATGTGCCATCTTACCTTTGCAATGAAAAGCAAGCCAGTTTCACTACCATACTTCTGTCACTAGTTATTATTATTTTTATATTGCTGTGTTAACTGTTATAAAAAATTACTTTTTAACTTGAAACACAGCATAAACCAAATTATGTGAATTAGAACATTTATCCCTTTCTAGCCCCAAAACACAACCCAACAACCATGGACTCTCAAGTTTCTACGATGTGAATAATTAGTATTAAAAAGTACCTCAATGTCTCTGTTTTAAATTTTATTCATTATACAGTGAAATTAAGTGCTTTTGCATTTCTTTATTTACTGGTTTTATTTCCTCTCTTGAAAATTATTTGTGTCCTTTGACCATTTAGTTATTAGAAGGTTGATATTTTCTCATCCATTTTATTGTCTTTTGGTGCTATGTAAATGAACTCAATGTCCATTTTATTTGATGAAAACATTTTCCTATATGTTTTCCTCTTTATTTTAAGTATTATTGTTCAGTATATAGAATTTTGTGTTAAATTTGCACATAGGTATATCGGCTAGTCTCTGCCTTGTGATACCTTTAGTCACTGTAAAACTTGAAACTCCATTTTCCCAACAATGATCTGAACAGATAATTAAAAATAATCTAGAATTTTGTGATGGGTACACAAAGAAAAGAATCGAGGAAATGGCTGAAGAGTGAGAGTCAATCTGGTGTTTTTTCTATCCTTATAATTATAGATCACTTATATTCAAAGTAGATCCATTGAAAACATGTGTCTAGGTCAATCCGATATGGAATATATCTTAATAATTCATAAAACATTGTGATAATTAAATTGGGACACCATTATTTTAATTACAAGTTTCTATTTATTGGGTCCCAAGGTTTCCTTAATGTATTTACTAACATGATCCAGATAGATAACAAACCAGATGGATAACAAAGGAAGTGAACGTCCTGTACTTTTCACAGAAATCATCTGATTTTTTGGCATTGACATATACGGCAATGCTCTTTGTTTTTTTTGTTTTTGTTTTTGTTTTTGTTCCTTAAATAAATTTAGAACATACACTTGTTTAAAGGAAAGATGTTTATTCACTTACAGGGTTTCCTTTTTGTCCTCGCTCACCTTTGATACCTGGGTTTCCATCGTTACCCTGAAGGCAAAGGAAAAAAGATTATACTGAGCAGCCATTCCATTAGTTTCCCACATCTTACAATAATTTCTGACCAGCTTCATCCTATAAAATGAGGGAGGATTGTAAAATAACTACCTACCAAGAAGAGAGTCAACTCTACTATCCCCTTTCCTACATATAAGGAAGGCTGCACTGTCTTGTATAGATGGATTCTCTAGATTAGCCAAAAGAGGACAATGTCTCCTTGTTATTTGCACACAAGTTTTTTTTAAAAAATTGTAGTTCAAGTACAGTGGTCCCCATTTTCCTGGAACCTCTTTCCCCCACCCTACCCACCCCCACCTTCTACCCTCAATGCTTCCCCCCTTTGGTTTTGTTCATAGGTCCTTTATACATGTTCCTGGACTTGACCCTTCACCTTCTTTCCCCCATTATACTCTCCCCTCTCCCTTCTGGTCTCTGTCAGTTTGTTCTTTATTTGCATGTCTCAGTTTCTATTTTGCTCACTTGTTTTGTTGATTAGGTTCCACTTATAGGTGAGATCATATGGTATTTGTTTTTCACCACCTGGCTTACTTCACTGAGCATAGTGCTCTCCAGTTCCATCCATGACAGCATGAAATAGCCCTGGTATTTGCAAGTGTGAGTAGAGTGATCATCTCTGGGACTCCTGAACTGACCCTAAATTCAAGGGACGATCTCAAAAGATGAAAGAAGAGAATTCTCCAAATCCTGTTCCAGAAAGGCTCTTCATTTTCCTGTCCTCAAACAATTAAAAACATCACTTTTCTGAGAACTGGTTGTGGGGGTACCCAATAAATTTTCCATAACACAGTTCTATGGCTACCCTTATTAAAACATGGTTACCTCTTCTAACAATATTGACTGGCTAAAGTTGTCAAGTTAGCTCAGCAATTGCAAGTTTTGTTATTGTTCATCCTAAAACATAATTGAATATCACAAGTGAACCTCCCACTGGTAATCCCCTGGTGTTAGAAGTATAAACTAAGACTTTATGGTGAAGGAAATTCAAGCCTTTGCTTTGGGTCAAGTCAGCTTCTACTGGCTGCCACATTATCAAATCATGTATTTTGAAGAAAAAGCCAAACATTCCTACTTTCTAGTACCTTGATGGGTAGGAAAGATTGAAAAAGGATAGGCTTCAGCCTCAAGTCTCAGGGTAAAATGCATCCATCACAGTCTAAGAAGCTCACAGTACGCATCTCCTGTCCCATCCCCCACATACAAGCATTGGTTGAAAAATCTTATCCATGCACTTTTGTGAAATATCTCCAATGTGCTTCTGAACATTAAGGTTTGGAATCATAAACAAATGAAATACTGAAAAAGCAGCATGGATGCTTCCTGATGATCTGGTGGTAGAGAAATGTTCAGCATCTCCAGTCATACTGGTATCGTTTGAAGTCACAGAGTTCACTCGAACCCCCAAGGCTTCCTAGCCAGAGCTTCCTCTGCACAAGGTCCCACAATATTGCTCTTGGACGAGTGTAAAGACACAGTTACCTTCAGGAGAGGTCTCTGGTCCTTGTTTCTGGGTGGAGCAAATAAAGCTTTGCCTAAAGCACAGAGATTTGGATTATCTCTTTCTATATTTTCACTTCACTATTGAGAAATTCTGGCCCCAACTGCCACATAAGAAGTGGTGCTGAAATAACCTTTGCGGCAACAAATTCATCATTTTATACCAAGTTTGCCCTTAGTTCAAGTCAGTAAAATCCCAGGCTTATTCTTAAGGATAGAAGATATCCTTTTAGAAAAAAAAAGAAAAAACACCTTTTTTTTTTTGCTGTTATTTGCACACAAGTGCTTTTTGACATCATGAAATAGTCCTGATATTTGCAAGTGTGAATAGAGTGATCATTGCTGGGACTCCTGAATTGATCCTAAATTCAAAGCAGAAATACACTTACCGGGGGCCCCGGATCGCCTGGATCCCCCTTCTCACACTCACAGATCTTGCGTTCACACTGAATCAATAATGAAATACAGTATTAACACACACTGAAAGGCAGAACTTCAAATCTCATCCAGTACATTACTAAATGGGACACTCCCATGAAGAAATTTTACTTTGCAATTTTATGGAGATTTTGCTCTTCCTATTAAATTCTTCTAGGAAAACGCAGATCTAATAAGAACCAGGTAATAAAAGTATTATTAAACATTGCCATGGTTAAATTAAAGAGACCTCCTATCATATATATATACACACACACACACACACACATTCTAGTTGCTAGTTAAAAAGGGAAAGATAAACATTTTCAGTGGACTCTTGGAATTTCTGCTATTTCTCTTATATAACACATCAGAGCTCAATAATATACAAATATCAAATACTCACTTACTCAGCAAAGGAAAGCATTTGACTTAAAAACATATTGAATCGATTCTAAGATACACATTTTTTCTTATTATAACACCTCTGAAATCAGAGTAAGCCCAATCATGATGAAGTTGCTATTTTCCACATTTACACTTCAAAACTTACAGAATGCAATGGAAGAAAACTCCAGAGACACTACTGGAGCACTGTTAAGAAATACTGTATGCCCATGCTTTTGATGTACTTCTTTTATAGAAAAACAACTACATCAATGACTCTAAGACTAAAATGATTCAGAAGATACAGACTCTGAATGTGAAGAAGTTTTAGAAATAACCAATTTAGTATGCTTATATATTCTCATATATGTGTGTATAAAAGTGATACAGGATTTAAAAATCTGTATCTAAATAAATCTAAAAGGACTCTTCACATAAGTATAAAATGAAAAATGAAAATTGATAAGATACTATATCATAGTTTAATCACCAGAGGTTTTTCTTGTTTTAATGGCACATAAAGTAATGGTATATCTGACCATGTATATATGATTCAATGAAACGTGCTCTACCACAGTGGTCCTCAACCCCCAGGCCGTGGACTGCCACTGGTCCGTGGCCTGGAAGGAATTGGGCCACACAGCAGGAAGTGAGTGGTGGGCAAGTGAGTGAACTGGTCCCTGGTGCTATAAAGTTTAGGGACTGCAGCTCTATGAGGTTTGGTTGGCTTCTATTATTTTACGCAATATTATGTGTAAATTTTATTATGTTAAATAAGCAACTTATCAAAGTTCAGGTGTTCCAAACTCTTTGTGTTAAGAAACACATGTTCAGCTCAAGAGTCCTCAACAAGCTAATGGTCATCTATTGTGGTAAGTACTATCTAACCAATGTTGGCCTGCTTCCTTGGCCACTTGGTCTGGTTGCCACCATCAGAAAGAATGAGGTTAGTCAATCAACAGGCAGCAGGGGGCGACTCTGAGCTCTGTCTCAGCCTGGAGCATTCTGCCTAACTAACCCTGGCCAACACCAGGCACACCTCCCAAAGTAGAGGACCCCCCCCCCACTCCACAAATGACCAGTATCAGAGACATGCTTAGAATAAAGGAAATTACATCAAACTAAGCAAAAGTCCTTTGCTTAGCAAGTCCTTTGGTTATCATTAATTTCTAAAATCAGTCTGTAGAATCACATTAATTTTTTTCTAATTTTCCAACCTGCATTGGACATGGTGGCCTAAAAGAAATCAGATGGCAGCCTAGAAATAGTGTGGCTCTTTCTAAAAAGTGTTAAGTGTTTTTATTTAGTCACACTATCTTCCAATGAGAAGTACAATGCTGATTTGATAATGCAAGCTTTCAGAGTAATGCATAGTAATCAAAGCAAGTGGTACTTACCTTCTTTTCAAATAAGATATCCTATGAGGGGAAAAAAGAATGAAACATTAACTCAATTTATGGTTCTGCTTCCAACTCTTATTAGTCTTAATTGTTCCCTAAGGGATTTGCAATTTCCAAGAAGAATAGCAAGTCGGCCTTTTTAGCCTTGTGAAATCAATGAAGCCTACCAGCCACCCACCCAAGGAATACTCTGAGCCGTACAAAATAGGGGACATGAAAGGCACTAACATTAAAAGTTATTCTGTTTTCTGGGAACTTTATCCTGTTGCTTAGGAACTTTATCCTGTTGCAGTCTATGTGTACCTTGATTTACTTTATCAGCTCTATGATCTAGCTACAAGCTTAATTTGGCTACAAGTTTAATCAGTCACAGTGAAAAATCTTTTACTTTCAGTTACAAAGACTTAGGCATTAAAACATTCATTTTAGGTTTATAACCTCAGGAAATAGTAATGAGCCTTAAAAGTTGAACCTCTCATTTTGCAATAAGGAAACTTGATCTGCAGTGTTATGACTTGTCCCAAATCACAAACTTGGGCTAAGTCACCTGCCAAAGTTCGGTGCTGCTTCATACTTATACACACAGAGGTGAATAGCCAGAATAGTTTTCAAAATTACTTTAAATTCCTAATTTTAGAGAAACTCTCAATCTCTGTTTTATCCAATATCTAGGCCTCACTACCTTACAACACGGTTCAGTGGTTTTATCTGACAAGTGCACCGAAGGGCCCCGTCTGAAGTCAAAGTTAACCTACGTTTACGGGTGGAATGATTACTTTCTTAAGGTAGATACTATGTGTCAAATGAATGCCTTGTGACAGAATCAGAGGCATAACATGCATATGATAAAATTAAAAGTGAAAGTAAGAGGCACTAGAATATTTGTCGCAAGATATTAAAAATGAAAGATATAATGAGGAAGTTAAAGTCAGAGTTGTACTTTTATGGAGGACTCCACATCCCCGTAGGGTTTTTTTACTTTATTTTTATTTCCATACAAACTAATAACATAGAAGACAGAGCAAAAGGCTTTAAGTGGCTCAGTTGAACAGGAGGAAAAATGAGCCTGGGCATTAAGTGTCATCCAAGGTTTTCATTCTGTTTCCACCACTAACTAACTACTCCCGTGGCCTTGGGCAAGTCATATACTCTTCCCAGGTCATTTTCCTATATAAAATGAGAAAGTTTGACCCCACATTTTTGAGAGCTGTAGAACTCTGTCCGCAGACCCTATACTAAATTCAGGGCTTTGCCTGTGGTCCCCTTTCTCCCCTTCTTCCACCCCTTCCCCACCCAATGATTTCAAATTACTAGCCAGCATAAATCTAGGCTGAAAGCAGATGATGTCTTAATAATGTATCTTTAAGACCTGGCAGGTCATGTGCAAAAACAGAAACTGAGATACAATGGCAATCTGTGTCTAAAATGGCATCACCCCCTCCAGAATGTTTGGCTGTGCCTGGAAAGCTGAGGACGAGTGTGCTTTATCTCAAGGCTGCTCAGCACAAGCCCTCGTTTCCACGGAATATCCCGACAGCCTTTCCAGACACACCCTAGAGAGAAAGTCTTGAACTCATACGTTTCAGCATTCACTGTTTTTAATAGTGAGATACTAGAAATAATTAAAGTATCCACCACTAGTGGAATGGATCAATAAATGAAATACTATTCAGCAACTAAAGTAATCATATTAGATCTACATATTTCAACATAAGAAGGTTCCCAAGAACACTGAGTGAAAAAGCAATGTGATCCAAATTACAAAAACATTTAAAATGTGTCATTAGCTTGCTTTCCTCTGGGAGGCAGAGAGGGAAAGGGAATTTGAAAGGAGTTCAGAAGGCACAATAAACAACTTATAATGCAAGTCAAATTGTAATATTTGATAATAACTAGTGATATATAGAAAAATCCTAAGTTTTTGTCATGTTATAATCTTTTTATAATGAACATTGATGTCCTTATCTATTTTAAACTCATGAATTTAGCTGCTACCACGCCTAATGTGCAAATTTACACTTTTCTAGCCCTGCCTTTGAAAATTCAATTTCTAGCTTTGCCATATCACCGTCTAAAAATACGTGCCACGAGGATTAAAACCATAACAGCATAACTAACAAATTATTTTTGGAACTCATTTGACTTGAGTTTTTTGGAATTTACATCTCTATGGAAACAAGAGTGGACCCAAAACTGCACAATAAATAAGACTGTTTCAAACAATGAACAAAGCTCCATCCCTAAGGGCACTTATGGTCTTAAGCCCCAGTGACAGAAAACAGCTCACAGCAAGCAGCGTGGGAAGGAGATCCTGGTCGGGGGGTGGAATGGGGGCACGAACAAGATAATTTCTTGGAATAGGTGAATTTTTCTGGAAATTCTCAAGGGAGGAATGCAAAGGACCAACTCTTTGATGGAATGTTCTGCTGTATGTCAAAGTTTATGAGGGAAAAAGTCATCAAGACTAGTGTGGGCAATAGACAAAAGAAGCAGTAAGGAAGGACATTTAGAAAGAGTGGACAGAGGAGTCCATGTGGACAGAGCTGGAGGCCTTGGGGCACAGTGAGATCTTTCACTGAGGCTGGGCAGCAGGCCTTGGGGGAAACATGGTCAAAGCCAGAGAAAAGGACATGTTCAATTAAGGTCTAGGTGGGTACTGTATTTTAAATGAAAAGGATAAACAGATAAAGGCCCTCCCTAGAGCAAAAGAAAGTATATTTTATTAATGGAGCTGGAGCTCTGGGATGGCATATGTGTGTAAGGAAAAGGCCAATTTTGTGAATGACTGTGAGGTCAATGCTATGAGAAGGGAAGAGAGGAAATGTGAGGAAGGTGCGTAACACGTAGCAGGACAGCAAATGGGATGAAAATAAAAATGCAATAGGCAAGGATTGCAAATGCTAAGAAAAAAAATTTGCAGCATTAACAAACTACAAAATCTTAAACAGAGAGCAAAAATAAGGCTCTAAAGAGAGGAAGACTTAAAATGGGAAGTGGCCTATAATCAATAAACTGATAAAGCTTAAGATTCTAAAGATGGTACAATAATTATCAAGTTGATCTTTGTTTGGTAGGTAAAGAAGGGGATACACCAAACTGATGTTTTTCTTAATAATCTTTAGAGAAAGAGACCAACTCATCACAATGTTCATTCCCATAAAGGCTTTTAAAAAATTTAACATCAAAGTTGATAGAATAAATAAAGTACTTATTTAATCTCACTTACTCTTTCTTGCTCTCCTAAAGGACCAAGTAATATATTTAGGAGATTCGGCTAAGTTTCTTAGGTTTCAAGACTGTTATGTAAACCATAATAAAGCAACAATAAAAATATTTTTCAATTTAGAACCAGAGGTCTCCCTTGGGTGATTCAGAACTGAAATGTTTTCATGGGGTTCTTAGACGACACTTCCTACTAGAGGTGCCAAGAATGCACAACGATTTCCTTAATTTGTCTTGCATCCTGCAAATTCTATTTGTGGTAGACAGTCATGTCCATAAATTTGACTATAAATTCTACTCTGCAATACAAAGGAATAAAGTCCTAATACCAAAAAAAAAGATGAATTTTGAAATTATTATGCTGGGAATAAGAAGCCTGTTACAAAAAGAGTACACACTGTACAAGTTTATTTATGTAAACTTCTAGGATGTATACACTAATCTCGAGTGAGAAGCCAACATCAGCAGTTGCTCAGGGGCAAGGGAAGAATGCATTGCAAAGAGTCATGAGGAAATTTTGGGGATGCCAGAAATGTTCTATATCCTACTGGTGTCGGTGGTTTCCTGGGTGTATACATCTCTCAAAACTCATGGAATTGTGTACTTCAGGTAAGTGCAGTTTGGTAAGGAAATTATACCCAATTAACCTATTTTTAAAAGTCAACTAATTAATTATTTCAAAATAAAAAGTTAAAAATTCAACCGAGGATATAATAGAAATAGATTAGATGAGGAATTTTTCCAATGGTCTGATGAAAAGTCAAGATCTGCTTCCTAGAAGTGGTGATTTGAAACACTGAAGCTACATATATCTTTCTTTGAAGAGCCCGATAAGCCCTTTAGATCCTGGAAGTGTTTGTAAAGCAGCATCTCCTTCTAAGAAGTGGCTTGTTCACAGAGCTTCCATCTGAACAAACAGCTGAAATCACAGGATGCTAAGGAAGAGCAGAATCATTAGGACACTGGGTCACTTTTGGTTTCCCCAGAAACGAGCAATCTTGCTTCGAGTCTGCTGCCAAGATTCTGTGTTCTCAGATGGGCAGGAGCTCTTGGTGACAGTGTGGCTGGAGGAAGTATGAACCTTCCGAGCTTTCACATCTGGCCAAACAAGGAGATGCTTGTCCTGCATCTTCCTCGGTCAGCAACAGGCAACTTATTATTATACCCCCAGGGTTCTCTCCTGAACATGCTGGGACCTTCTGTTCCAAGTTCACTGGTGAGGGCTCCTTAAACAGCACAGGCAAGACTAGGCCGTTAGGCTGCCACCCTGCACGTCTCTCACAAAAGAGGTGCTTTGAGTAGGCATGTGCCCCAAGCTACTGTATTATTTCCCCTCTCAGTAAGACTTCACAAGGTTAAGCATGCAGACTCTAGGGTCTTTGCCTGGCCTTAAAATTTCAATTATAAAATGATGATATAACAGTACCTACATCACAAGATTGTTCTTAACACTGAATAGAATAAAATAAGTAAAAGTGCTCAGAACAATGCCTAATACACAGAGTGACACTTGACATGATAATTATTATTTAGATAAGACAAATTCAGGGTCTCATGCTGAAAACAGCTCAGTAAAAAATTGAGTGTAACCAAAGAAAATAAAATTAAGAAGAGACAAAAAATTGAGTGTAATGTTGGGGAAAAGATTGGAGGAAGGGACAAAGGAGCCAAACAGTCTCTGAAATGGAGCCTGAGGCTTTGCCCACCCTCTGGAAAACAGCCACAGGAAATGCTGGGTACCTGAAGGACACATTTGTCTTGCCCTCTTCTTAAGAAATCAAAGAAAATGAATACTTTTAAGAAAGTCAGTTTTTTAACACTTAACAAACCAGCCACTATTTCTCCAGAGTTTTTTTCCTTGAGAAATTCTGTGAAGAGGGATTTTGTTTGCATTGCTTTGCCTTGTGTTTTACCAGGCAGGGAGGAAAGGTTCTTACAAGCAGCTGGGCAACCAATGAAGGAAAAAAGCATCGGCACAGCCAGGCAGACCCATCAAAAGGGACTCATTGACTTGATGGGAGAACTGTTGGGTGACTGCAGCTTGTAGGTGATTTTACATTGGGTGGCCTTGTTAACACCTAAGGAACAATGAGATAATTTAAAAAAAAAACTGGAAGTCTATGAATTCTGCTTGAGCATAATGGAGCAATACACAGTAAGACAAAGTCAAAAATTGTTTTTACACATATAGGAAGGGAAAAGATCAGTCTAATCCAAGTGTAGCAGACCATAAGTTGACCACAAATGGAATATAAATCAGCAGGGTTCAGTGAACCCAGGATGTATAAACAGGAGTCTGAGCTGTGTGATTAGAAATTAATTCCAGAGAATGGGTCTGGTACTGCTCCAGTTTATCTGGTATAAACTATCAAGGGCATGGAGAAAGGCTTTAGAAAGAGTCTTCTTTCCATTTCTGAGATGAGTTATCTTCCTTTCAAATTTTGACTCATTATGTATTCTTAAAGACTTTATAATCAGAAATATTACTATTATAATGAGAAGTATGTATGTAAAACCAACCCATTAGATACCTACCAGGCGATCCTGAATTGTATCTACAAGGGCTGGATCACTCAGCAGTAGAATGGGTTCACTAGATGAATCCCCGGATATCAAACGAAGTTTGGCTTCATTGACTACAGTAGAAAGTCCAATGGTAATAAATAATATCCCTGCAGTCCTGGCGTCTTCAGAAATACTTTGAACATCCGGACTCTTTGGGTGGTCGATGCCGTCAGTCATCAGCAAAGCTACTTTTACGCCATCTTTACGTCCTTCTTTCTTAAGTAGCCTAGTGGCATTGGAGATGGCATAATATGAGTAAGTACCTTGTCCAATGAAATTCATAGACTTGACCCTCTTCTTAAAAGTCTGTAGATTCTTCCAAGAAGAAAAAGGTGGGTCAATTTGGACAGAGCTGCTAAACTGCAGAGCTGCCAGTTTTATGTCATATTTCAAGTAGTAAACTGGGGTCATTTGGAAAATCCTGTCACTCAAGTTAGCCACAAAATCTTTCTGTTTATCAAAGAGGGTAATTTGAGCACTTTCAGAGCTGTCTACGATGAAGATGACATCTACGGAGCAAGCGATGTCTGAAAATAGAAGAAATTGATTAGGCAAAATAAATGGGACAGCTGGAGAGACAATTTTGCATAAGAAAAGTACTGAGGTGATGCCACTGTTCTGTTTGCTGTTGAGAGCAGAGGGAAGTGAGAGAGAGAGCACCTTGTAGGGAGGGTTTAAGGTGCAAAGCACGAAGTCTCTTTGCAAGTCTATCCATTCTTGTTCTCATGTAAAATCATGTAAAACAAAAACAATAATTTTAAAAATACCATATATTCTGAACCTATTCCCAAATTAAAGCCCACTTAAAATGGGAGGGGGGAGGATAGCACAGCATGGTTTAAAAATTCAACAAACATTGGATAAAGTCATCTGGAAGTAAATGATACTCCACCTGTTTCTCAGGCTGTGTGTCATACTGGTGAGGCCCCGTATGGTTTCGTAGTTTTTTAAAAATTTTTTGAAATCAAGGGAGAAAATTACTATACATCACAATGTAGCAACAGTGAGGGAGAAGGGAACTTAAAAGCAGAAAATTTAAGATCGCATCTTAGGTCTGTCTTACGAATTTGCCTACAACCTGGCGGATGCCACTTAATCTCTTTGGGCCTCAGCTCTTTATATAACATGAAAGTGGCACTTTCTGCCATGCCTATTTGATAAGATTACTGTGAAGTTTAAGTGAAATAACAAATGTACAAGGGCTTTAAAAACTGATGTTTTCATAGGTATGCCATAGAAGTATGTAAGGTGTATCATTATCATAATATAATCATGTCAAAGTTGAATATCACATACATGCATATGCCTATGGTTTGCTATTTAAATCAAATGCTATTGGTAAAAATGCATATTAGTGTCTTTCTGAGCTAAAATTAATCGTTAAAAACAAAAAATTTTTTTTTACCCTGGCGATTATTTTTTCTTGCAAGTAAGTTGGACTTTGATTCTTTCTTTCTTTGTCCATATGTTGTTTGACTCATAAAAGCTGGTGAAAGCAGGAGATAAAAGACAATGTGTCTGGTCCACATTTTGGTAGATGGTGAAAAATCATCTGCCTGTAGCACCTTTAATAGAAAAATCAGTTATAAATACATCAATAAAATATAGTGTTTGCTATTTTTAATTCCAATCTAGCAGAATTGAAAACTGGCATTTGACAGGAGAAAAAAGTTTTCATTCATATTTATAGAAAAATATGCACACTGAGATTTTTTAAGTTTCTAATGCAAATAAATCATGGCAATATACCCAAACATGTGTTAATGAATATTTCCATAAATCAAAAAGTTACATGTAAGTAGTCTGTATTCCCCATTTTATTTTGGGAAGCCGGGAGTCGGGAGAGCCATTTCCAACATTTCAGTCCATACTATGTGGTAACTGGTTCCATCACAGGGTCTGCTTTGGCATTCCCACATTCAGACTGACAATGGTGGTTCCACTCATTTACATTATAACAAATTCCTGATGACCCCACTATTTTTACAGGGTTCTAGAGAACCACCGCCATTTCAGTCTTACTATTTTCATGCATAACTTTAGTGAATCTCAGAGCTCAAATTAAAAATTACCATACATTTTTTTCTGTTTCCATAGAATCCCATTTCTCTTTCCTACTCTTATTTTGCAAACTGTATGTCCACCAGAATTTCAAGCTGGACACAACTGTATATCCAATAAAGCAAAAGAATATGAGAGCAAACATAGATTTGCTAAATAACACTGTTCTTCTAGCTAATGGACAGAAATAGCTCTTGAAATCAGGAAGTACCCCTTCTGAACAGTCCTGTGAAACTAATTTTCTTGGTAGCTTGACAATAAAAAATTCAATCCTGTTTAAAATCTTCATCACTCAAGATGCCCAGCTATACACCAAATGACTTGTAAAGTCACACGCTTCCCTGGTAAGAAAATACTCACATGTGGCTAGCTCAGTATACCTGAGAATGGGGGTAAGAAGCAGAACCAATGTTCTGCATGGTTTGAAAATGTTTGCCTACCTAAACTGTATTGACTTCAGAAGTTCTGGGAAAGGAATCACATTTTCCTTCTTTGGCATCTCACCTTCAGGGAATAAGAATTGGGAAATCATGAGCATGATTTTTCCGGGCTCTGAGTAGGGGGTAGAAATATACATAAAAGCAGTGAAGAATGAGATGGATGACTGACTTCTTTCATACCTGCCAGATGGAGAAATTCCTAAGCGAATCAAAGCTGTTGAGTTGGGGATGAACCAATGAGTGGCTCTGTGCCATACTCCATTTCTCAAATAGTGCCACCTAGCAGGGAGTTTATTGCACTGACTTCATATCTATCGGTATGGACAAGTACCTCTGCCAGCCAGTACTGCAACTGATCAAATCTCAACTACTCTCCAAGCCAGGTATGCTAACACGTGAAGACAGGTGGGTGTTAAAAGAAAGAACAAAAACTGTACTAAAGAAATAGAATACAAAGAAGACATTCAGGATCCTCTGGATGTAATCCCCTTGCTAAACAAGGAGAAGAATACAAAAAGATGTCCAAATTTAGTTCTAAAGACTAGAGTAAGAACGAGGCTATGAAGCAAAATACAGCTGCTATTGCGTTTTTAGAGGGGGAAAAGGAGTAACACCATGTCCCTGGTATTACATATGACTTTTTTCTTTGGTTGAGTCTATACCAAAAGAAACTTCTCAGAAGTGCTTTATTATTTTTTAATTTTATTTATTTATTTTTAGAGAGAGGGGTAGGGAGGGAGAAAGAGAGGGAAACATTGATGTGTGGTTGCATCTCATGTGGCCCCCTACTGGGGACCTGGCCCCCAACCCAGGCATGTGCCCTGACTGGGAATCAAACCAGTGACCCTTTGGTCCTCAGGCCAGTACTCAATCCAGTACTAGCACCAGTCAGGGCTCAGAAGTTCTTTAAATAGGAGACTGAGAATTTAATTTCATTGATAGCAAGAGAGATCTTACAAGCTACATGATCAAGATGACTCTTCAAAAACCTAAAGAAAGTGATAACCATGCAGGAACATGAGAAGAAAACACCATTCTTCTTATTTGTAGACTTCATTCTGAGCTTTCAAAATGCTGACTTTAAATAAAGACTTACATTTCTCCCAAACTAAACTCCTGCTCATACAGTTTTCTTGGCATATAATCATGAATTCCTACTTGAACCTCTGCATATAAAATGCTCACTATCATAACTTAACCTTTAGTAATAATCACAATATCTCATCTTTTATTCCTGTGTGCTCCAACATTTTTTTATTTAGCATTCCCAAACCAAAATTTGGTATTTCTTCCTGCTTTCTGGTATTAGAGGACATGCTTATACCTTTCCACTTTTCTTTCTTTACTGTTTTGGTTTCTCCATCTTCCTGAAATCATTTAGTTTGGCATGTTAAGAGCCCACCATTTCTAATCACTTTTATCAATTCTTATTTTTGCCTGCATTTTTAATAAATTCCCACCTTTTTCTCATTTAAATATCACATACGAGTAAAACAGGTGTCAGGGTAAATATCATTAATTAAATGAATGGAATATAAATCTTTATGTTTACTTATTGGTTAAATTTTACAAATTCAAAAACAATAATTATCTTTATCCAAATGCCATGTTTTTTCCTTTTTGCCTAAAATGTATCTTGCATAAATGTCATGATCAATAACTCCAACAGACTTTAAAGATAAACTCATAAATGAAATTATCTTTCAACAGAGTTTACTGATTTTACTCAGAGTATTTACATCTTATTTGTTCCTACATGAACATAAAATGATGGATAAATACTTTTCTCAAATTGTCAAACTAACCAAGTTTTAAAGCATTCTGCAATCAATATTTAATTATAAAAACTTTCTCAAATTAAGAGGATCCACCAAAAGATATTAATATCATTGTAGTGCTATGAAGTAGACTATAAGTTAAAAATACTTTTTAAATAATTCAAAAATAAATTTTAAATTTCTACATTTTAAAATTCTACCATTATTCATATTTTCTAATAATTAACTTAAGATAATAGAGAGAATAAATTTTATAAGCTTTTTTCACATAGTAAGTATGTAAACCATTTAGATTTCTGCAGTTCTCAATGACCCTGTCCGATTACAAGTGATTAAAACAAAGCAGTTATGCCTTACCTTATCAAGTGTGTCAAACCAGAATTAAAGACTGCTTAAGCTAATACCAACAGCAAGAACCATCGTTGGGGATTCAACTGGCTATTGAATATTTCTCTGTTCTGTGGGACATAAAAATTGTCTTTGCTTTGGATCTTTTGCAATCTTTCATTCATGTTTATTGGACTAAGTTAAAGCAAGAGTGGTGAGGCATTTGGCCAGGGTGCAAGATTTGGGTGGGATCAGTAAGTAATTTAAAGGAATAGTGTCCTTTCAGAATAAGTCTGTGTTTTCCAGACTGTTTTAAAAACAACTAGAGAAATTTGTTTTTTTACACTGTAGGCATTTATCGACAGTCTGCCTTTGTTCTCATGCTGTGTTCTTCACTTTCCGTTTTTACATTTCTTTGCCTGGAGTATGTGCTCTGTTAGAAATTGGTTCTAAACAGCTCTGTGAAACAGTATAAATGACTCCAGACTCAGGTGCAAAACTGGTTTTTCAAGAGAGGTGATGGGTTGATAATTATTGAAGCTGGATGATGAGTATATAGAAGCTCATTATTTTAGTCTTTATACATCTGTGATTTTTGAAAGTTTTCATAATAAAAGGTCTACATAATGTGTAGTGAATGAGTGATCTAAATTTAGTCCTTGGTTTGTCTCTAAGATAGGGACCTCAGGTTCCCACTTAGACTGAATTACTTATCAACATCCTTTAAAACCGTAACATAAGAGGTAGGTTTACAAGGATTAATATTCTGAGGTCTCTGTCCAGGTAATGTGGTCACTGTAGTGGTTCCATTCTCATTCTCTCTCTCTCCTATTTTTCTACCTAGCGGTTATAGCTCTTGTTAAGTCAATGTTTATCAGAACAAAACATTCAGCCTAGAAGCCACGTACACAACTAACAGGGCAGCTTCTCTATGAACTGCCTTGGAGACAGAGAATAGTAAGATGACCAGAGAAAGCAATATATTTTTGTCTTAAATTAGCTTTCCTAGGAATACATGTTAGCATTTATGCATCTGCTTATGGTTACAATAATAGTTCCCACTTGGTGAACAGTTTACCAAGCTAGGTACTATGCTCAGTACTCCACACGCATTATGGCATTTAGCCCTCCAAAAGCACAACCACCTACCTATCATAAGTACTATAAGAAGCCACATTTTGCAGGTGAGGATGACGAGGCAGAGAGGACTTCAATCATTTGCCCACTGTTACATTAATACTGGAGAATGCCAGAATGGGGTCTTAATTCAGAACTATCTGACCACTGAGACTCACTTAGACCAACTATCACACTATTAAATGAAGTGTCCAGGTGAAGGTTCGTGCTTTCATTGTCTCCTCACCACAAAGCAGTTCTTAAGGAACAGAGGGAGTCTTGTAGGGCTTTGGTAACAGAAAAAAGGAACAGTGGGTGTATTGCAGAAGTAACCATAGGATTTCCCAGGAAGCAAACATATGTATTTATAGACTTACACATACACAGTTTAAATAGCCTGTGGATGTTAGCCACACTTGTCACTTCTGTGAGATGAAAATCATGGAATCAGGACGTGGCATTTTTCAGAAGGTCAGCTCTCTTTTTCCTGAGGTAGATTAACAACTTGAAGAACAGTGATACTTCTGAGAGGCAAACAGGTGACTCCTGAAGGGGAGAAATGGGCTAAAGCCTTCCTGCTCGTTAACTATTCTTAATAAAGACTTGTTGAATAAATGAGTATTGGAAGTGACTTTTTAAAATAGTCCTATAACTTTTATTTTTATTTTTTAAAATTTATTTAGTTATTTTTCAACTACAGTTTTCTGTCTATTTCTCCCATCCCAGCCCACCCTGCCCCATGCTCCCCACCTCCCTCCCATTTCCACATAGTTATTTTCCCTGTGTCCTTTATACTTGTTCCTCTAAATCCCTCCCATTTTTCCCCCTTAAATTTTAGTGTTCCTCGATCACTTGAGAACCATGCTACAACAGATTGGTCCCCTTCGGAGCACTGCTAGACAGCGAATCTTTTTCAGCCTTTTCAACATATTTTAATACTCCACCTAAGTAGAATCTATGTAGGCCTTATTTGTTTTGATACTGGTGCCAAGATCCCATTTCAGTAATGATGGTATTTTGGGGTCCTAGGATCATTTAAGAGGAATCAGAGTCTGGGATGACTTGTAAATATCAGAAGGTTTTATCTGCACAAGGTCACAGAAACACGAAAAATGGCTAATAACATATCAGCTCAAGCTTGTAACATAGTTATACATCTGGGCTGAGATCAAAGTTTAGTGAGATGTTTCCCAATCTTCTCCCAGTTTTGCCCACCCTCCATACTGACTACCCAGAACAGAAAAGAGCATTATCAACTAAGAAGAAAGAAGTCAATGACTTTCTTACCCAATTTGGAGAAATTAGATGTTCCCTTCTATTTATTTTTTTTTCAGTATTAAACCTTGGTGTAGAACTTCCGCCAAGATGGAGGCGTAGGTGGAACAACCCTGCGTCCGCGCACAACCAAATCTAAAAACAAAGTTTTAACAACAATAAACATAACCAAACCACACAGAAAATCGACAATACGGAGTCCAAAGACAACGAAATGCTCAGCTAAACCAGTAAGAGGAGCGAAGCCAGCAGCGGAGTGTGTTGGCAAAAAAGATCCCCGACCGGGTGGTGCACAAGCAGCTGAAGGTGCAGATCCCAGGTGCGGCTAGCTACGGGCGGACACAGGGGAGAGGCACAGCTGGCTGTCTGCGGTCGGTGGAGCATTTGCGTGCAGATAAACCAGTGAAGAGGCCAGCATTGAGACCCCACGGAGCAGGGTGGTGGGCTCGCACATTTCCGCTTGGATAAACAGGCAGGGGCATTACAGATGGGCGAGCAGAGAGGACCGCCATTGCTCCCTCTCTGACCCCGCTCCCACATACAGCATCACAAACCAGCGACCTGAGTGGCCCCACCCTGGTAAACAACTGAGGCTCCGCTCCTCATACTTAACGGGCACGAACAGACCAAATATGGCTCAAGAATAACTCAGAGCCCCAGAGCCGATAAATCTAAGTGATGAAGAAATAGCCAAACTTTCAGATGCACAGTTCAAAACACTGGTGATCAGGATGCTCACAGAACTGGTTGATTATAGTCACAAATTAGAGAAACATATGAAAGCTAAACTAATTGAAATGAATGGTAATGCACAGGAAACCAACAGTAATGGAAAGGAAACTGGGACTCAAATCAAGGGAGTAGACCAGAAGGAAGGAAAAAATGACCAATCAGAAAAGAATGAAGAAACAAGAATTCAAAAAAATGAGGGGAGGCTTAAGAACCTCCAGGACATCTTTAAATGTTCCAACATTCAAATTATAGGGGTACCAGAAGGGGAAGAGGAACAGTCACGAGTGGAAACCCTATTTGAACAGATAATAAGAGAGAACTTCCCTGGTCTGGCAAAGGAAATAGACTTCCAGGAAATCCAGGAAGCTCAGAGAGTCCCAAAGAAGTTGGACCCAAGAAGGAACACACCAAGGCACATCATCATTACATTAGCCAAGATTAAAATGAAGGAGAGAATTCTAGAAGCAGCAAGAGATAAGGGGACTGTCACCTACAAAGGAGTCCCCATCAGACTGTCAGTTGATTTCTCAAAAGAGACCTTACAGGCAAGAAGGGGCTGGGAAGAGGTATTCCAAGTCATGAAAACCAAAGACCTACAACCAAGATTGCTCTATCCAGCAAAGTTTTCATTTAGAATGGAAGGACAGATAAAGTGCTTCTCAGATGAGATCAAATTCAAGGAGTTCATCATCACCAAGCCCTTATTATATGAAATGTTAAAGGGTCTTACCTAAGAAAAAGAAGATAAAAAAAGATGAACAGTGAAAGGACAGCAAACTCACAGTTACTAAGAACCACACCTAAAACAAAAGCAAATTAAGAGGACAGCTAGATCAGGAGTGATCCATAGAAATGAAGATCACATGGAGGATTAGCAACAGGGGAGTGGGAGGAGGAGAAGGGGGGAGAAGGTACAGAAAATAAGTAGCACAGACAGTAGATAGAAAATAGATAGGGGGGAGGGTAAGAATAGTAGGGGAAATACAGAATCTAAAGAACTTGAGACACGTGTTCATGAACTAAAGGGGGGAATGGTGGGAGAGGGGTGTGCAGGGTGGAGGGGAAAGGGGGGGAATAGAACAAATGTAATGGCATAATCAATAAAAAATGTTAAAAAAAAACCTTGGTGTAATAGAGTTCATAACATTTGCCCCGAGGCTCTGAAGTTTCTGAAATGTATTATACTTCTTGGCTCCAGAAGTATGACTTGGCCATTCTCTCCCATCATTCTTCAGGAAGTTAAAGAAATGCTAAAACGATGGGTTTATTTAACAATTTAGGAGTGGATTAAAAGTATTCAAAGACAAGGAAGTGGAAATTATCATTGGTGATCAAGTGTAGAAAATGTGGCATTGTGTAAGTCTGCAGCAGTGTGACTCCAGTGCCCCTGCCCTCACCAGATTTGGACGGAGTTGACTCTTCCGCATTCCCTCTGCTCCGTTGTTTTTTGTATTGTTTACCCCTGATATATCTTGCTTCATTATTTGTCATTTAGTCCCCAGCTTGAACAAATGTGTTACATTGTGACCTAAATCACAGTGACAGCGTAATTCCCATTGTGTCAATCTTAGGACTATTACAATTTTTCTCTGAAATTTTCTTTCATAATTGATATTTGCTTATTCTGTGTTATTTATTCTTTAGTAAGAACAAATTTTTTTATGCCAAAAAAGACAAAAGAAAAAAAACTGAGTGCTCTCTGGAAACATTTACACTTTTCCTTTCTAAGAAACGTCTGGAAGTGGATAGGTCTTCTTCTATCATAGGTTTGAATATTCAATTTACTAAAAATTATTCTTTTCAGTCAGTGGATAGAGCAGTCATAAACTATTCATGCAAGGTTCATCAGAAGGGAAAGATTAGATCTAGTTAAGCTTTGGCCAAATTCTACTTTTAATGGGGAAAGTATTTTCTATTTTTCACTTAGTTGATTTTACTTTCAGGCATTAGAAAGTATTGTACTGTATGTAACTTAGTGAATTCTTTGATTGCCCA